TCTATACATACACACAGAAACTAAACACATGGCCCGAGAACTGAGACTTGGACACGAGACAACAAAAAGCCCATCCAATTCCGATTTCCCCAAGCCTCCCGCCCGACTCATTCAATCATTTTTACACCCTCCAGAAGGGGGCCCTATCAGGCGTAAATAATCACAAACGTTGGCTAAATAATAAATACATGTGAGTGTGGGTAATTGTCTGAAGATTCCTTGGAGCCCTCTCGGCCCTCTGCTGACCAATCAACTGGCATTAATAGCCGGGCCCAGTGAGGCACTTAGAACGGCAGCTCGACGGCCGGTAGCCGGTGGTCGGTGGTCCATGGTTGTCGAAGTGGCATGAAAAATGATGCACTCCCCCGGCAAGGCGGCAAGATGGCCTGCCCTTCGTCAAGCAACATAAAAATAAATATTAAATAATCATTTATTTTCACAAAAAAGTTTCCACTTATTGTTTGCTTTCATGTGTATGTTTGCCCATTCCACTCCTCCCACTCCGGTGTACAACGGTGCGTATGCGCGTTATGGCGTAAGAGGTGGAAACGCCTTCTCGCTTAACGCCTCGGTGCATTGGCTTTTTCCTTTTCGGAGGTGTGTGTTTTGGCCCCAAGAAACAGGTCAGCCAGAGGCTGTTTGGGTATAATTTATTTGCCAGGAAATATGATTGGTAATTCGATTTGTTTTTTTTATGTTTTCCCAACAATATATTTATATATTTCAACAAAAATGCTGCATTTGCCACAAAATGTGGAAAATTGCGCTAAATGTTATGCGAAAATGCAAAAATTAACAGCGAGCGTGGGTGGTACTTTGCGATGAAATAAATTTTAATAAACACAGCGCATACATCAAACGGCAGTCAGACTGATGTTGCCACAAAAACAGACTCACACTCACACCCAGACACATGCACAGTTGTGTACGTAATTGGCGGCAAAACAATTAGTAGCATTTTACAGTTTACAGTTGCTGCACACAGCCCCCCCACCCGAAAATATTTTTGCATGAGGCTGCACACGAAGGTATGCTACATATGCACCTGCAACAAAAGCTGACAAGCTGACTAAGTGGCAAATGTGATGAGCTTTTTGGCAAGACCCAGAAAGAGATAGACCCAAAGCAGGAGACAGAGACAGACAGGTAAGGGCAACAGTTGGCAGGGATATGGCGAAAAGCCGGCAAAGCCAATGCCAAAAGCGTTGAAACTTTTGACACACTTTGCAATTGAAATGCATTTGAGTGGGAGAACACTCCACCCACTCACTCCGCCCACCATCCATTTGCTGTAATAAATTACGGTAATTTAGAAAACTCTTAGTACAGGCCGGGCCCGGAACAGAGACAGGTGGAGAGCAGCCAGCGAAAGAGAGAGACGGCTAAGAGATTAGCATACGTGCACATATTGTTAAGCAGCTGTGGGAACACGGAAAGCAAAAGCTGAAACAGAGCCAGTCAGAGAAAGAGAAAGAGAGGGAGAGAAAAAATTACGTATCCTTGTCAAAGGAAGAAGGCAATATGTGTGTCGCAATTTCCGTTTGAAGTGCACTTCCTGCCACCTTGCAGGGGCACATGTTCGTCAAGGTTGAAGACTTCAAGCCTCCAAGAAGGATGAATTGTAGAGAATATTTTTAAAACTATTTCTATTATTCATTTTTATAGTACCCAACTTTTCTTGCAGTGCTTGTTTTTCTTGTTCCAATGACTTAATGGCAAATCCTTGCTCCGCCAGCTTGTTAACTTGGCAAAAATATGTGCCTGAAATCGAGTCAAGGAAACACATGCTGGCCCATGTTATGTACTGTGCCATCTGGCCTACATTCCCCATGTACATATATCCACGACCTAAGTTCAGCGACATTTGTCAGCTCATAACGCTTTAGTAAATCAATATCAATATTCTTGATATAAACCATTAAAAACAAATTGCAGAGCTTCCGGTTAATTTCGTCTGCTGACTTCCGCTGTTGGATTCAATTTTGTGAGAAAGTTGCAACAGCTGCTTGGAGTGTCAGATGCCAGTTGCTAGTTGCAAGCTGCCAGTTTCCAGTTTCCAGATGCAGCTTGAGTCAACCAAATTGAATAAAAAAGTTTGTTGCCGGGCAAGTGGCCTCCGGGGCCGGAAGTGCCAGAGTTGGACCACATGGCGAATGCTTGATATTGCGCAAAGGGTTTCTTTCCCCCAGTTGCCCAGTTGCCCATCCCACTGCCCACGAGATGACAGGCAGCAACTGCCATTCGAATGGCCACTTCAAGTGCAACTGTTGCACATCAAACAGACATCAAAATGTGCAAACACGCTGGAGATGGAGAGACAGCCAAGGGGACAGGCCAGAAGCGGCAAAGAAAGGACACAGAAGAAACTGGCAGCGAGTACTGCAGTTGTTGAGTTTTTGCAGAACTTGAAAGAGGTTAGCGAACTGGGAATAGATGCGCCTGTGTGTCTGGCACTCGAAACAAGCTCATCAACTGGCACAACAACAGCCTGACAATGATGCACACTCGCCCAGTCCATATCCGTTGTGTCACCGCCAGATGGAGGCGTTCTGAGACTGCAGGACTTTCCACGAATTTAAAGCCCTGCCGATCAAGAAGTGGGTCATTGAAATTGATCGTCCGACCTGCACTGACCTCTCCCTCGCCTTCGCCCCGGGGCTTATTTGTTAAGGTTAACAAGGGCAGGACGAAATGCGAATTTCCATTCCCTGCCAATGGCTCCATTGCAGCGTGGCCAATCTCATTTCCATTGAATTGCCAGCCAGGCTCGTTGGCTCGCCTTCGCTCCATGAATCTGAAAACATAATGAAAATAATTCGCCAAGGAAAGTAATAAAGAGGCAGCCTTGGAGGCTGGCAGCCACAACCAGCACACACAGCACATATAAAAGGTACATAGTATACGTTCGTATATATGGGGTTCTCGACATGTGCCCGTGTCTCAATGGCGCTTTATTGTGATGTCGTTGGTCCTTTTCTTCCGTCCTGCTCCTGCTCCTGGTCCTGGGCTCTTGGCTCATCGTATTTGTTTAGCCCGGCATTTTATTTTTACTGTTTATAAGCTGACAAAATTGTTTTTCTCTCTTGGTGTGCTCCTTACACCCCAACATGCCAAGCAGTCCAACAACCAAACAGCCTGCACATTAAACGGTTCGTCCTTAGAGGGTCGTGTGCCGTAAATGGGCCAATGCTGCGGCTACGTAATAAAATGCGAGAACCACAAACAATAATTGGCCAAGGTCCGTTTTGGGGGAATTTTTGATGGCCTTGTCTTGTCACAGAACCAGAATTAGTTGCCAGCTGCGGCAGCTCTCTGGTGAAGGAGTCCAAAAAAATTCCCCCACAAAACTAAACATTCTTTCCATTTCACTCGAGCTCCTTTTTTGTGGGCCAGATTTTTCACAATTCTATGCGTTTTTAGTGCAGCGATGATTCCATTTCCTCGTGGTCCAAAACTGTTATGCGTGGTCGCATTCTTCTCTGATTAAATTTCGAGTTATGAACTCGATTCTGTGGCACGCTCCGCTGATTCTGGCCAGAAAGAGTCCAAAAGTGAAAATCAGAAATCTGGCAGAAAGGCATTCCATATCTGTGTCAGTATGCCATTGTTTCCAATTTCGATTCTTTGCATTGTTTGCTAGGCTTTTCAGAGTTTTTTTTTCAGTTTCTTCTGGTCAAATGATTTTCCAGAAATATCCTTCGGGCCAGAGATAGACTAGGGCTGAGCCGGACTAGAGCCCAAACCATGGTCTTTGCTTTTAATCTCTAGTAATGGTAAATGGTATGCCATAATTCCATAAAACTTAATTAGTGAAGAGTTAAATGGGCACCGAGATGATCCTTGCCATCCTGTCAGCTTAATTAACATACCCAAAGACCGTAGACGAAAGGTGAGCCTTAGGTTCATCGCATTTTTTATGGCCCAGAGGGGCCAACACACAAAAAAATAAAGAAAGGAGAAAAAAAAGGATCCGGGGAAAGGCCCCGTCAGTTGGCAATACAATTTGCCGTGACAAATGCGGCCATAAACAAAAATGGCGACAACAACAACGCCATTGCCACTGCCACTGCCACAGCCGCCATTCTGCCGCGTTTCTAGTGCAACGACTACAAAATGGCTGCCACCAGAGTCTGGATGAAAATTTCATTCCACAGACGGCGATGGCGATGGCGGCGGCGGCGGCGACCTTTTATGGTATTTATCACACGCGATCCCGTCTGGGGGGAGGCCAGCCGCCCCCGGCTCTGCCGGCTCCCAGCTCGCTTTTCGTTTTTGGTAATGAAATTTCGCTTTAGCAATTACCGGCATCCCCAGGACACAGCCAGGATGCTGGGCAAAGCCGGCTAATAGGTTTTGAGGCTTGCCGGCTGACTCGATGGATGCATAAATTATAATGGGGCCCCCAAGTGCACCCCTCGCACAAATCAATTTCAGACTTCTTCGACTACTCTATATATCGGTCTATATAAGGATATATTTACCGAACTGCTGACAAGCGAGAGTGCAAGAAAGGAGAAAATAAAGAAGAGAGGACGAGGAAAACAAAAACACAATTTATAAAAATATTTTCGTGCCTTGCAGCTAAAATGTTATTAAAGTCAATAACATAAAGCCGGGGACAATTCCCTCTGGTTTTCCCTCCATCGCCTTCTTTGGATGGTGAGGGTGAGGGTGAAACTTTGTCAAATAAAAATAGCTTACAAATAAAAACAACTTGAGGCGGAAAAATAAAAATCATCCTGGCCGGGCCGGGCCAAGCAGGGCAGGGCTGGGAAAACAACTGACCAAGGCAATGTAATAAAAATAAATAATGGCTTTGACAAAAAATAAACGATGCCTGAAAAAAGTTTGAATATTTATGAGTTTTTTATGTGCCAAACCAAAGAGGAGGCAGTGCCAAGAAAAAAGGGTGGAAGATGAAATACTGGAGGGAGATTTGAATCTCCCATCTCTGATTTCCAATTAATCTATTCACAAAGTTCACTTTCAATATCTACTCATTTAAAGATAGCTGGCAGTTAACTGTCAGAAAAGTCTCTAAACAAAAACTAGAAAACATCAGAGAAAAAATCAGTCAGAGATTATAAATCCAAATAAAAAAAAATGGAAAATTTACAGAGTCTTCCAGAGACCATGTCCGTGGAGGCCATCGCGGCCATCAAGGCCAAGCGCCTGGCCATGAAGAGCGGCGAGATGGGGGATGGCCAGCGGAACAAGAGGCGCATGGTGCGGGAACAGCAGCTCCAGGAAGACGAAAAGCAGGCGGAGGTCTGCCGACGTGCCAGGGAGCGGGAGCGTCAGCATCGCGACCGTGAAGAGCAGCTGCTGGGCGAGAAGGAGTTGCCGGGCATCCTCCGGATTTTGTCCAAGGTCTACGACTCCAAAAAGCGTCGCCTCAAGTCGAAGGAGAAGGCTCCAAAGCCCGCGGCAAAGGATCTCTCACTTCCGATGCCGGGTATGCTGAAGGAAGTGCCGGTGGTGCCACCGCAACTGGATACTTTTGACCTCAAACACTCTTCGAAGTACAATCGCTATGGCCAAGAGCGTTTTAACCGAAAGAAGCCCGAATTCGATATCGATCCTTTGGGCAGCCATTTAAAGGCCGACCATCACCACAACCCGACCCAGTTGGAACCAAAGAAACATCGCTCTAGAAAACCCATTATCGTAGTGCCGGCGTCCTTGAAGAGCCTGGTGACATTGCACAATGTCAAGCAACTCCTGCAGGATATGCGCTATGTGTCGGTCGAGGAGCTGCGCCAATTGGGTGTCCAGGCCAGCCACGAAGTAATCATAGAGAGGAAGGTTCAGGTGAGTCTATATTCAAATAAGGAGCTTTGTAAGTCTGGATTGCCTTTCAGGGTGAAATCGTGCGTTATCGGGTGATCGACAAGGTCTCCCGGCTGACCAACGAGGAGTGGGAGCGAGTGACCGCCGTCTTCGCCCTAGGTCCCACGTGGCAGTTTAAGGGCTGGCCGCAGCGCGGTGATCCAGCCAACATCTTCCATCGCGTCTGCGCCTTTCACTTGCACTTCAAGAACTCGCCGGTGGACCAGGAGCTTCAGAAAATGCAGGTGACCTTCCTCAGCCTGCCGCAGCACGAGCGGCACTTGGACCGCGGCATCCTGATGGAGTTCTGGAACAAGCTGGACCAGCACATCGCCCTGCATCCCCGTCAGTTTGCATTCATGAAATCGAATTAGAAACGCCGCCTCCGGATAGGGCAGATAGCAGATAAGCGGGAAAATCAATAAATAAAATTGAATAAGCTCGAACAAAGGACGAAAAACACACATGTGGTGGTGTTTTGTGGGGGGCTGTATCCTTCGATAATAAAAAGCGAACGGGCGCATCAAAAAAATATATCACGTATCTATAAACGTCATATAAGAGCGCTGCGAAAACTGCAAACTTGGCAAGAAAATTAAGAGCACAAACAAGTCCACGAGGGGTGTGGGGGGAGGGGGTGGTGGCTTGGCACGCGTGAGACAAAAGCTAAATGACACACAAAGGAGCAGTTGCCAGGCTGTGTGTGTGCGTGCGTGGGTGGGTGGCTGGCTCTACTTATATAAGTCACTGTGCGCCCCACAAAACGTAAAACTGTCAACGAGTTTCAGAGAGTGATGGAAAATGGTACTCCCAGGGAGTGATACGGTGGGGAGGGGAAAACCAATATTAAGGACAAAGGACTCACTAAGAAAAAGCGGCAGGAGCAATAAAAATCACTGGGGAAAAAGGCAATTTTTACACACACACACGTCGATGTCGGCACACATGTGTATTTAAATGAAATGCCTGCTATTGGGAAAAAGGATATGAAGCAATTGTCAGGCGATAAAATCTGCTAGAGGTAATGCACTAAGCGATTTAACAGTGGGACTTGAATAGGAAAATACGATAGATTTTAAATGTTATTTTTGGAAGGGTTTCTAGGGGCTGCAGGGTCCAAGGTAGTCCTTTCGTTGAAACTTCGTTTGGGGCTTAGTCCCTTTTATATTCTGTGGTTGTTGCAGCAGATATACAGAGCAGATATATTATCTACCACCTACCAAAATATATAAAAACAATATTTGTTTTAGAATTAACGTTTGTTTACCAAAACAAAATAAGCGATTACTTTTGAATTCAAAATAATTAAAAATTAAATTACAAATTATACATATAATGAACACTTATAGAGAACTATGTTTGTTTTTAGTATAGGCCGCGAAGCTAAAATCTAGTAACCGTATAAGGGTTAATAACACACTTGTTAGTCAACACTGTTTCACTCACAATCTGTCATTTTGACAGACCACCATTTTGACAGACCACTATTTTGACAGTTATTGTTTTGATAGTTATTGTTATTAAGTTAGGAAAATAATGATTATTTTATTGTAAATATAATCATTTCTTTTAAGGTCTCATTTAAAGCCTTCTCATTATTTTCTCATTTTTTTTCAAGTGCATTCAATTGCAGTTACTATTTTAAGTACGTGAAACCACTGTACTCCTTAGCTACTAAGGTAAGTAGCTTTCAGATGCCCCGCTTCCGCCGGATAATTTGCCAACTTACGCAACTTGCCGAGGACAAGGGCAGGTCGCTAGTCGCCTTCGCCTGTCATCCTCTGCTCCCGGAATGGGCGTGGCCATGGGCGGATAAATCGAGTTTCGCTCGCCAATATTCAATTTTATAAATTGAAGCAAAGTGGAAGCAGACAAAAAACGAAATGTGGGCGAAGAAATTGAATTCGGGCTGGCGAAGGAAATAAAAAATTGTCGCAGCTGGGCGGGGGCAAACTTTTTCTTTTTCCACATGAGCTCGAAGGACAACCGTTTGATTAGCATCAGTGAGATATGAGATTTTGGCCAAACAATTAGGGGAATCCTTTAAGTCCCAGATAGGGGCTGTTGCAGAGTTCTAGCCCCCAGACTGTGGGTGTACAACTAATGCAAGAACTATAAATTCTCGAAACGGCAGGGCCATAAATTCCCGAAAAATTTGCATTTGCTGAGTTCACAAGCACAGTGATGCAAACCGAAAATGTGTCGCTAGAAACTGTACCCAGCAGCCAGCAAAAAGGGATATAATTTAGCCCCTAATGTCAGCTCTTTTAACTGATTGCTATTAAGGAACTGCAAAATGCTTGGCTCTGCAACAAACCCACTTGATATATTTCCCCGGAAAGCTCTACTATCCGGGATTAAGCTGCCGGCACTCGGGCAAGTTTTATGAACCAGATTCTGCCTGCCCGGGATCGGAATCGAAATCCAGCTAATATTAACGAATTGACCTCTCAGAGAACAGTTCGGGATGTTTGCTTCAAGGACCTGAAATTGAATCGATATCATCTTCTGGTATTACAGTTGGCTTAAAACTGATTACACGCCCACCCCTGGACGCCCTGACTTCTGGCAAGTTTACGCCCAAGTGCCAGAACACCTACACATGTATTACATATATATATTGCCTTATATATTCGTACTTATGCCAGGACAAAGTTTTTACTTCACACCCGAGCCAGGGAGCCGCAACTGAGAGCTGAGCAGCGAGAAACACTTTGAGCCACCATAAATCCCTACTCGGTTGCCCTGAAAAGCGCACAACAGCAACAACTGCTTGTGCTAAACTATGGCAAAAGTTTTCAGTTCAAATCAGTAAAAAGTCAAGTTTAGCATCCGAAGATGGAGCGTACAGTGTGCGTTAACAATATGGCATCGAAACCAAGTGGGAGAAATCAACGAAAACAGCCAGAGACTGAGACGGAGACAACACACACTCGTATACTCGCATGTAGATGACAGCGAGAAAAGCGCAGTGCTGACAAGGAGAATAAGGACACTGTCCGCCATCTTGTTTTGACCTGCTTTGCCTTTTGAGTTGGCCATGGTCTGCCAATTGCCAGAAATAGAATTGAATGCAGTTGTTGTCTGGCTTTCAAGATACAAAGGGATAAAACCTATTCTTGAGCTTCGTCTTCAATTAAAGTTCCAATTTTCCCTTTAAAAAGTGCATAAAGCTTAACACTTTTAAATATCTGTGATATTCTTCCAATATTTCACTTAGAAATGCCATTAATTCTTTCTTACAATCAAAATGGAATGGAAATTAATTTCATGTATAAACCAATTCGTATGGATGCACTCAGTCAGTCAGAAAGTAAAAGCGCAGAGAGCTCAGATAAATGCAGGAAGTATTGCCCGACTGGTACATGCCCCACCAAGTGGCAAGCATACATGAAGCCAGTATTTGTATTGCCCAAGTGGCAGGGTAGGGCCGGAGCAGGTGTAGTACTTGCTTTCACGCAAACAACAACCACCTACATAGTGTCCGCATGTCCGTCTGTCCGCATGTCCGTCTCTGTCCGTGTGTCCGGGAAATCGGATTTCCGTGGGTTAAGCGGACTGCTCGGCGGTCAGCTCCGGCGTTTGCCTTGGCTCTCCCAACTTTTCAACTTGTGCCAATCAAACAAGTTCAATAACGGTAATTAACAGTCCAACGCAAATGCAGTTGCAGTTTTGAGTGAGTGGGACGATGGGTGGGTCGATGGGTGGAGCCATGGGTGGAAGGACGGAAGCACAGTGGCTGCAATTTGCGAAAGTTCAAAGCTATTAGCATGTCGATGCCCCAACCTGAACACGGAACGCCACGCCACGCTATGCTACTGATTTCCCCCCTTTTTCCGCTTTTTCCTGCCTAATGATGAAACTGGCCGCCATCGGTTGGATGGCTATTAGCCATGGTCTAAAGGCTGAATCACTTTTTGGGAGGGAGAGTGGCCACTGGCCAGCTCGAAAAAGGCGACAGGCATTCATTTTTGCTGGCCAAACGGGATTGTCCAACTGTTGGACTCTTCGGGCCACTTGGCATGTCAGTTTTGATTGAACTTGATGGGCCTGCTGACTCTCTAATCTGATTTAATTGTGAATGATGTACGTACGCTACTCACATACTCACAGGGCAAAAATTTCCCTTAATGGGTATTAATGAAACGGGCTGCCGGGTGGAGAAGGATGCCAAAGGCATAAAAGGATGTGTGTACAAGAATTTTTCAAAGCCTTCTCTGAATAGATGCCCACAAAGGTAATCACAGTCCTTAGATTTCCCTTTTGATTTGATTTCCAGTCTTTGGCAAATGGGTAGACTAATAAGAATAATCCTTTAAGCCAAGTTAATCAATTCCAGCCATCAATCTTGCATATTCTTCGGCCGAGTTGCTGGCTTTCTTCATCATGTTTGGTCTAATAAACAGATAGTTTGCAATTGGCTGTTACTTGCTGTTTTGGCCGCCAGTGTGCCAGCGGATCTATCAATTTGTAACATTTTCAGGCCAATACACATGCACTCACACGACCGACCGTATTCACTTACCACTCCGACAAGGAAACGAGGACGTGCAACCTGACGACGGCCACGCCAGGCCCAAAGGGCAAGTGAAGCTGCGAGGGGCTCTGCCAGTGGGGCATGGTCTGGGGCATCGCCTTGCATCCGTTTCAGTCGAGTATCTTGCTTTTTCTTCCTCCTATATTTTTTTTTTTTTATTTTTTACACTTTTTTTTAAAGCAAAAGCAGCAGCAGTAGCAGCCACTTTGGCCACAGAACTTGAGCATGAGTGCAATCAAATGTATTACATTTTGTGCAACTTAAGCGTCGGCTGAAGTGCCGAAGACAGCTGGCAAGGAGGGAGTAACGAGGGGGAAACGACGGCAAAGGCAAAAGGCAGGGGCGTAAGGTATCAAGGATAAAAGGGGGCGGGGTATATCCGGTTCTGGGTGCAATGATTTCCGGCAAAGCTTGCATCAAGCCTGAGTCTGGATGAAAAACTAAGCAGATGAAGAGGGAGAGGCTTAAAGGAAGTTTACATTCACACACACACACACACACACTCGACACACACACACCAGGACTCTGTGGCGCCGTAAAGTATGCAACGTGCGCCATAAAAATGGGCCAAACAAGGAAATTGCTAGAAATGCATTTTGTGGCTTATGAGCCGTGAAGGGAAAGCGAGCGGAGCCAGCCGGGATCAGGGGCATCCTACCATCCTAGAGCCTGGGAAATCAATCGAGTTTGTTCGACAAATATCCGCTCAAATGGAAATTGACAGGAAAACGTGAAAGAGATATCCCAGGAACCCAGAAATGCAAGGGGAATCAGTCGGTGGCTCGGTCGGTCGGTGGCAATTAAAAGTCATTGCACAAAACGATTTTTAACCATGACAAATGCTGGCCCAATTGGCTGTAATGGCCTGATTGATGACGGGCTTTAACCGGCCATGATATGATTATCTAGCCATCCATGTTTGCTTAATAATCAATGGGGATCAGACTACTTGTATAAGGAAATCAAGCTCTATTTCCTTTGGCATTTCTTCCCTATCCTTTCAGTTTTTGCGAGCT